TTATGCAAGCAGAACATGCGGGAGTACTGCAGACGACGAAGATTCTAACCTCCCGATTAATTTCAACAAACTCCCAAATGCCCACTTTTGCATAGCAAGTGCTCAGGTGGGGGCAGCCACGCTTGTAGTCTAGAGCCCATCCAAATGTCCAGCGGCACATCCATAGTTTTGCCTCACTACCTACACCCCTAAAACCATCCTTCTTTGACGACCCCAAGAGGCCATCTTGAGTGCTGTAGCCACAATTCGGTAACCACCTGACTTGGAAATTGAAAAAAGATGTAGGTAGATCGTGTACTTAGATCACCCCAGATGAATGTCATACGTGTAAAGCACACTTCAATGGTTTAAACACTAGCACTACTTGTAGTACACACGGGTCATCCATATGACCTTGACCACCATCGCCTTGGCAACCAATTGAAACTGTGCAGTAGATCAAAAACAACAACCTGCCCCATTTTCAATGTGACTCAATTCTTTCATAAGTGAACTCGATCATTCTGACCGCCATTGATGACGAAATGTGGAAGTGTATGAAATGTTGGCACTTAGATTTCACCAGCGTTCATGTGTGTTCTGTGGCAGGTTATGAGACTTCAGCGGAACTTAACCATTACTCTCATCGCCTCGCTTATTTTCACTACCCATTTGTTTGGGAATGAAACCTGCTTTACCCGAATGTCAGCAGAGAATTGTTTCTCGAACGTTGACGTTTTTGGTATAAACACAGGCAGTTCGCGTTTTTAATGCAAAACTGTGTTAATTTCATAATGATAATCGTCATCAGATGACTAGAAACGCTTGGATGTGATGCTTTAAAACTGTAATGAGAACCCAAAAAGTCGTTTTTGAATTATCCACCCGATTCATTTATTCAGGCTTAAAACTGCACATAAGACTTAGCTGGAGGTTTGTGAAATTAATGTCGAGTAGGTTTTTTGAGTTAATGAACAACCAGTGATGCAGGTCTGGAGGTGACTAAGCTGGCTGTACACTGAGAATATCAAATGATGACTTTTTGACAGAGAGCACAAACGTTCCGTGACATGGGGACACTTAAGACCTCACAGTCCTTATACAATAAAAACGAGAGAGACTACGCTCAACCTTAAGTTGGAACCTATACGCGCACGCTAAATGAAGTGCACACTAAAGGTGCGATCCCACGCAGTGTCGAAAACGACTTACAACGCACAATTACTCAAAACACAGAACAAATTGCTTTAGAGATTTTTTAAGAGAAGCTTGTTAAGGGCACGACTTGCCGAAAAGTCATAGATAGTAAATCAAATGAATTTTACATTCGAGGAGAGGTTTCTAGTTGCGTAAATTAATATATATTCGATCGCCGGGCTTTAAAGTATATATCCGTCATGCTAAGTAAATGTTGGAATTTCTGCTTAGTCATTTTGTAATGTTTAATTTTAAGAAACTGTTTTGCCAGTTAACGGGCGGCATAAACGGTCGTTCCTCTGGTGCTTATAGCCACTAATTAGTCATGCCCTAGCCCATAGTCTGCTTTCCGGAAAGCACGCCCCAGCTTACCTTGACGACGCCTGCATTGGTACGATTATGGTTCCAGTACACTATGAGTTTATGCTGCATCACAGGAGAGTCAAACTTAGCATGCATCGAATTTTCAGACTCGGATTCTTGACTCAGGTGGTTTTATTCCTAGAATGCGATTTTCCCAGTCCAGCGCAGACAAATAATCCTAAAGAAATCGCTCAGAGTTACCGGTTCTGATTTCTGCGAGTTAGAAGTTGAGAGGGTAAACGAGGTACGACTGACGTAAACGGACTTTGTAAAACAATTGAACTCATAGGAAAGTGCGAAGTCTATTAATATCAAGCAGCGGACTTATGACAAATGGGTCTTTATTTGAGTTCAGATGCTCAGCCAAATTCCGATGACAGAACAATCAAAGTCTGGCGAACGCTATTCTACATTGGTGGCGTCTCTGGGGTAGTTTTGGCCACCCAAGACAATTGGGGATCAGCATCTCTCACCGGCCGGAGTGAACCATTGGACATCTGATCATGTTGTCTAAGGCTCCCCTGCCAAGAGGTGAAACGCAGAAGTCATCTACGGGTAGCGTGTAACACCTACAAAATTAACTTTATCGGAAAGACCGGCAAACGAGCCCGGACCTGTCTTAGAGAACGCACGAGGACAATGAGGTTTGTAGACTCATCGTCTCAACGGTACTCAGACTGAAAACAAGTTTGCTCTCCAGAATGCCGAAGCGCTGGGTCGAGGAAATGAGCGCATGGTCAGGGAAGTAATGGAGGCCTCGCACACGGGACAAATTCTGTCGACCGTTGTGTGGCCCTAACTACAGACTACCAAACCCTATGGACGCAGTCTAAAGAAGGTGGATAAAACACGGAAGAACCTAAGCCGAGCACGCACGTAGCCGCGCCACAACCTGGACTTGACACAGGCAGTCTTAACTATCGGCCACTACTTTTGCGTACACGACCGTCACCCCCTACAATTACTGTGAGACGCGATACGGTAATTCCTCCGACAATGGAAGCTTTCCTTCTTTTGAAACGTCAGGAAAATAAAATTTCGGCTCCCGATATAGCCTTTCATTCAATCTATGTTCACGGCCGCGTATCTTTGCCTCCATTAGCGTTTTATACGCTGCGTTAATAATTTCATAAATTACTAATGGAGAGACAAGGAGCTAAGTGTTCATAAAACGAGTTTTTAAGGTCAGTCCGGAAGGTAGTGAACAGTTGATTCAAAGACAATCAACTTCTTTGCAATGGGTGCGTGAAGCCCATTCCACAAACAAATAGTACTGCGATTCTACTGTGCTCCCAACAGTAGTACCGTCTAGAAGTCCACGCATCAACAAAACATGTGTATAGGGCTTTTGCTAGAAGTTATGCTGGTGTATGCTGGAAACAATAGTGTGAAATAGCATTAAGTCCCTCCCTTATCACTTATATCTGACGTTTGTGGACTGGAAACCATGTCGGCGAATAGGTAGATTATTTACAAACGCCTATTCTATCCACTTGAGAAGCTATTTATAACCATGCCTTACTCAAGACCATTACTGATTCAATCACTATACAAGCTCAGAAAACTCTGTGTAACGTGGACTCTTGACTGTTTGATCGCCAGTCGATAATATTTTTTGCAAGAAATCCCTCATGATACCTGCCCTCGCGAAACAGGTCCTTGGCCTTTTAAAGCTCCTCATCGATACTCCCCACCGAGCAAAGTTTTCTGGAGTTTTTTTGCCAAAAAGTAGGCTAGGTTGCGTTCTTTTTGAAGGCATACGAAACTACTGAAATCCGCAGCGTGTCAAGACCAAGTTCTCCTCCGACAGATATTTCTCCAAACGCCACCGTGAGGCCTTCTGCCTAGAATGACGTCCAAAAAGGAGCAAACCTGCCTTCACCGTCTCCGACGTGAATTTGATCGACAAATGCATCTGAATTAGAAAGTCTAAGAGAGAAGCTGAGAAGGCCTTGGCAGGGACATTTGGAAATATATTGTCCACTCGGCGACTGTAAGGCCTCAGACAACTGATCAGGTCGCATGGCTGAAGTTTCTCCAGTTTGCCCATGAATACATCGGCCGAGAAAGGACAAAGAGACGAACTCATACCAAAGCCGTCTATTTGCCTGTATAGTTTGTTGTCATAAAGGAAGTACACATTTGGTGTGCATCTCAGTAATAGTTGCTGAGTGTGTTCGGCGTTATTCCTATTTCCTCCTGATTGGCCGATAGGAATTCGTAGATGCAATCAACTATGTCAGTGAGCGACACGTCTGTAAAGACGTCACCCTTCAGTTTATGTTCATGTCCTCAAAGTCGTCAATGGTTTCACGAGTATCCTGGTAGTTACATGATGTTAGCCGGTATGGTAAGGTCTTGAGCCTCCTGATACGGGGATGTTTGCGCATATCAGACCAAAAGAACCGACAGATCGTCCTTGAGCATCTCCGATCTATAGCACAGTCACGAGAAAGATGTGCCGATTTGTGGGAAATTTTCGAGGTCACGGTCGTTCATCAAAGCACCTGTGAGGAATTTTCCTAGGCAATTGGTTAGTTATCTTAACTTCGTCCGTGCAGTCTTCTTCATTGCCCATCTTGCTAGATTTTTTTTGGTCTGGCAATATGGACTGTGGCTTCGGTAAGTAGCCTGATCTGCTCATTTTATCGATGCTTGTCCCGTTATCCGACCTAGTTATGAAAATACTTTTTAAATTTCTCCATGTGTGCTTTTGTGAGCTGTCGCCGAACGTTTGCACTCTTGGATAGCCATTGTAAGTACACTTGCTGCGTGCTGTCTAGGAAAGCAGGATATATGTCCTGGGTTTTGTTTTGGGGCTTCCAAAATTGTGTATCTGATTCATATTCACTAGCTTTTCGACGATGGATGTAGAATTTATATCCAAAGGATAATGCCTCAATTATTGTTTTACCAAACGTCCTATTAGTTCATTTCTCTTATTACCCAAAAAGGATTAATTGACCCTGTTGCCATACAAATGTACTGGTTTAATTAGAATTTATAGAAAGCAAACTTATATATGCCGACTTGTCTCCTGAATCCTTCAATCGAACTTCCAGAAATTTTGAAAAACGTACAAATACATTAAACTTACGAAGGTATTGAAAGTGACTTTATGGTTACATCATCGAAATATTTGTAAAATTTTGAAGATCATTAACTTTCGAGCTGGAACTAGTTACGGGCGAATTCTCATTAATATTTGAACCGGTAATTAGCAGCAGTCAAGATTAGCTCTCAAGACCGTAACCATTTTATTCAAAGAAACATTAACATTTTTAAAACCAACCCAGCAAGCCAACTGACTATACAATCTTGCACAGAAACACATTTTCCAAGCTCGAAAAGGTCCTCGAAGTAGGTGTTTCGGGACAGTGGAACTCCAACAAATAAGAAGTACTTTCACAAAGAAACGGTGAAATTGCTTGATTGTCATAAGCAAAGACAGCTTTTTTGCGTTAACCGGACTCCTTCACAGACTTTATGAAATTTGTTCCCAGTAGAACAGTGATCTGAATAATAATGGTCATTGAAATGGCGGCCAGAAATGCGCTCCAGTCGGCTCTTACGCGACTATAATAGGTAAATACACCCGCTATAGCGAAGACCGAAGCTGCAGCTCCGATGGCGAAACCCGCAGGCGGCACCCAGCGCTGCTTCATCCAGAAGATGGCCACAGAGAAGCCTAGCGTCACAAACATCAGGATGACAGAGATGCATAATAGGGCGCCAACAGCACGGAGGTCCTGCTGGAGAACGTTTTGAACGCCGAGACATTCAGCGAAGATGGCACCGCATGGCCAGTTTGGTATTCCCAGGGAGATGATCATAAGCACAATTGAGATTCCGGTCAGGGCGATAATTACGTAGGGAAACATGATGACGATTAATCCGTGAGTCGGAGCGTCGCGAAATGTGTGTGTGTGGCGCACTAAAACGGTGCAAAGTGCCCTGCAAGAGCACAACCGCCAAGGAAATGTCCTGGCCAATAAGAATCTAAAGAAGGCTGCACGTTTTGCACTCTCTGATGATTGACTGGTTAGCTGTCTGGGACAAGGAGCAGGCAAAGGATGAATTATAAAGTAGCACATGTTTCGTAAGCCATGAGCATTGGGGTCACAGTGCAGTACGGTGAAAGCAGGTTCGCCAGAGCAGAAGTATGCAAATGAACTTCTTGTACTCACCAGGCAGGAGCAAAGAAGAATGAGCACAATTGTGTGTTAGAAAAAGACTCGTAAAAAGGCATAAATGTGTAGACCTCCCAGGATTGGATGTTGGAATCATTTTCAGACCGGCCGGAGAATGCAGACAATCGTCCACCTGACCACACTTCAAATGATTTGACAAAACCTGCAACTGCGAGTGCAATTGACTAGGGTTCGAAAGGGAGCTCACTAAGTTGTTTATGAAACAACCAGTACTGACTCATATAGGATGGACAGCCCTATTCTACACACAAATGGCTGCCCTCACGTGCACTTAATGACGTTCAAACATCGGGTATTCTCAGTTCTTTGTCCGGAAAATGCTTGATTCTTAATAAATTTTAAGGCATCTTGCTGAACTTCCTTCATCTAAAGGAAGCGCAGAAAGTTTATGGAGCATGTTAGACCCCTTCAAAGTAGTCGCTAGTTTTTAATATCACCTGTCCTTGGGACCTGTCTGGAATTTAACTAGACAAGTTTCCACTGTTTCAGCATCTTGTCCTGTCGTTAGAAACTCTGTTTCCGAACAAACCTCGAAGAGAGTGAAAAGTGTCAACCACCAATGACCCATACAGTTGACCATTGTTATCTGGATCATTCCAATTTCTCTTTCGTGTCTCGGAAATACCTGTCGTTTTAGGGTTTTATATCAATACCTGATTCTACTTATTATTGTTACAGATATTTAATGGAGGCGATTCTTTACAAGAATAATTGTGTGATTTCAATACGATCCCTAGGTAGTTTATAACTACAAGGCTAACTCAGCAGTCAAATCAGTAAAATATGTGCAGTTTCGATAGTTTATTGGCTGTGAATCGGCATGTACACACCAGTATACTTCCGTTGATGGTATTTACAGAAGCTTATAAACAAACAAAAATGCATAAACAAAATTAAAACTGCAAAAAACAGTAATATTCGGATTACTAAGTTAAGCAGAGAATAGGGGATGGCACTTTTAGACGAGAATGATACCTAAATTGAATTTCTTATTATCTGACGTGATCGGATTCAGACAAGCGTGCGATAACAAATGATACAGAAACTGTTAAAACTCCTTTGCCCCACTGGTTACACAGGCTTAAGAATGCCTCCCCAGCAGGCCGCGCTGCAAATGCGCTGGACCAAGACCAGAATCTGAGTGGCTTCACACCGCGTTAACCGCTGCGCCGAATTCCATCGCCTACTGATTGAACGTCTTGGACGGTCGATTGGAGCATGCCAGAGGGAGGAGAGAATGAGGTGGATGCATTCATTACTATGATAAATCGGGCACGCCTACACATATCACGACGCGCCTAGGGCCGTGGCTTGAAAGGTCGCCAATTGAGGGCATAAATTAGCACATCTCAGGGCTGGGAGCCAGACGGCAACTTTATGGCACTCCCACACATGTGAGGTCCGATCAGTCTAGTACAGTTCGCGAAGACCAGGTCGCTTGTGGCTCGCGTGGGTGGCTGTTTAGCTCTGTCAGTCATCGCGCCGAGCCAACCTTCCCTCTTTTTTGCATCGTCTTGTCATCGGAATCGGGTCAGTGAGGGAGGAGAGGGGGTGGTAGATGTCACGACCTTCTGACTCATAAACTAATTCACGCAAGGACTCTGGTGTTGTGCCCACTCCGTGTGGTACATCGTAGCCTGCGATGGTCAGACTGTTGTAGCCATCGGCGTGTATACTCTATCGTTTCATGACCTGCCGAAATGTAATAGCGGATACCTTCCTATGCGACCAATTTTAGACACACAGGACACTTCCTACCTGGGAATGGAAAAGTAGCAAGTAGAATACACAAGACCTATCCAAAGAAAATACGGCAGCTCGTAGGTACCGAAAAAACATTTAAATTTATTATTGAGATGAATAATGTAACTTTCACCAGAAAGGCCATGTCCTCATTTAGTGCCAGAGCTCTTTTCAGCAACGTGAGGGCATAGAAAACACTAAAGATGAAAAAGGAATTGTAACTAAAAGAATAAATTGTTAAGATGTAACCCTAAAATGCAGCCCTCATCCAATGACCATTTTTCCAAAAATAGACAGCGTCGAGTTGCTTTTACCTCTGTGTTCTCTATAAATCAAATCTTTTATGGAAGAACTCGAGAACCTATGAGTTAGAAGACATGTTGATAGACGGATTTTTGGGATCACGAATGAACAGCTCGCTCAAAGCACGTTGCTCTAATCAACTAACCAGGCTCAACTTTCTGACGTGTTCACGGTTGAAATCGAAAAACAGAATTGGTCCACCTATTGGACGGTTTGTCAAGTATGAATCGCTGCAATGCAATCTACTAAAACCTCCATCGGCAGAAAAAACGGAGGAGACAATACATGAACTTTCGCAATTCTGTACCACTAAACCAAAAGTGCAAACTAGGTCAAAATACTTTTTTGTCTGACAGAGTCAAACTGGAACCGAAAAATATATAGAGTTGACTAGACAGAAATATTTATTCAGAAAGATTTATTTTAAAACCTGTAGTTGAGAGGTCAAGGAAGCCGACTGAACACCGTTTGTATAAGGTAATGATAGTACTAAATCAATAAGAGGCATTATATATAGCCATTCCCATGCTATACCCGCCAGTAAAAATACATACGTAATTCTCAGCTATTTTAATAATATACACTGGAAGTCTCTGTGGGATCACCTACTTACAAAGCTATAGGCAACATAATCTAACATAAGTAATCTGTTCCGGTGCAGATGAAAGTGCTACAGACACTGAAACTGTCACTACTAAGAGTCTGTCAGCCGATCGAACGACCGTAGACTGGATGAATTTATTTTGTCCAGTGTCTTCTTAATGCTGGCCTAGGCTTACCTACCGTATCTCCCCTCCTCTCATTCTGCCCTAACAAACTTGGTGTGATTTCGCAATTTCCCCAGTAAACTTGCAAAGATTTCGTGGAAGAATTTGCAAATATGCATACGCCTTTTGTGTAACTCCTTGTCAGGCTAATGCAGCAAGATGAAGAGATCGAATCTGAGTAAATGATTGGTCGAAGAACAGTGGGGCCGACTGAGGTTAGGCTGGTAATCAGGCAGCTAAAGCCGGTGGTGGATACACAAAAGGGTTCTGCTTAATGTTCTGTAGTAGGCGTGGTCAAAGCCCAGTTAGTGTCATTCTGCATGACAATAACATCGAGTTTATTGATCATGCTATCATGATATCAGGCCTTATTCAAAACTGTCCCCCACCTCTAATCTGTCTCATCACTAACTAGCTAGACTTTTCTTTGTTTTATTACTTGAATCATTTCACTTGGCGACTTCCATGACCCACTCGGAAATTGCTGAAACTCCTATGTTCGCCAGCTTGGCTTGTGAAGTCCACAATGTGGATGAAAATATAAGGTCATTGACTAATTCGAGCAGCTGCAGAGCTGAAATGACTAAATACTGTATTAATATCGAGAAATTCCTTCAGGTGTATCTTACTGTTCTTAACACAGTGATAAGTTTTAAGTAACTCTCCCTGTGATCATTCGTTTGCATGCTCGAAGTTTAAATTTCAAAGAGTCCACCCATTGTTCATCATGTTATAGTTTCAGGGTAAGGGTGTTAAGTTTGCACCCGGAAACCGACTGGCTGGTTTCAACTATGCTGATGATATTGCCTTACTTGCCTCAAGTTTTGATGTTCTGCTGTTTCTGGTGTTACGGGTGAACGAGGTCTCTAAATCGGTCAATAAGTCAAAAACGTTGGAAAGAATAAAGCGTTTTCAAGCTGCATCCCTAATCAGGGTAAGGTAACTCCCGGGATCGATGGCTGTCAAATTGAGGAAATAGACAGCTTTAAATACCTCGGGCGAGGCCACTGCCAAATGGACGGAGTAAGGTCGACATTGTCCCCCGAATTGATGCTGCCTACCGGGTTTTCTAAAACCTCAGAAAATGCTTATGAATTCGACGTCACATTCACATCGCAACTAAGATTTGCATGTGCCGTGAATCCGTCCGGCCAGTCCTTCTGTATGGTTGTGAATGCTGTGCTGTGCGCGTGGAAACTAGCGAAAACCGTAAGGTATTTGACCACCACAGTTGAGCACCATCCTCAGAGTGAAGCACACCGACTTCGTCTCAAATGAGACAGTTCGCACTCGCCGTGACGACATCGCAAAGATAACCCAGACTATCAAAGAAAGATGACCGAGGTGGTTTGAGCATGATCTTGGTCGTTCAGCTCACGAGCTCAGTGTTGCTACCCTCAACCCTGTACCGATACCCCCTCGGAAGCTTCTAAGGGGGGTCAATTCAAGACCTAGCTCAACACAGTCGTAATGACATAGAATTGGTCCTGGGGCCTTCGCTATGTGGTCTCCGTCGCTGACGAATAGAATGGATTGAGCTATCCAGATCTGCTGCTGCAGATCGCCAAGCGTAGAGAAGTACAGTTCGGGACATTATCGAGGCCGGCTTGAGTAGGCATGCCCGCAGCCGTACCAAGTACACGTTTAGGGTGCAAGTTAGACATCAGCGTCCCCAACAAAATCAGGTGTCATCGTCTCGTACCTTTAAAAGCGACTGCATTCCTTCATCTTTAAGTGTGCATTCACAGTTCCGCAGTCTACATCGGTCAGAAATGTTGCTTATATACGTAAAACGACATTTTTAAACTAAAACGGAAAACATCTTGAATAAAACAAACTCTGTCCTTTGTGCTTAGG